CTCTCTCTCTCTCTCTCTCTCTCTCTCTCTCTCTCTCTCTCTCTCTCTCTCTCCCACAGCACTGGGAAAATAGCTCAATTTTACACGTGGGCAATGCTTATGAAACCCAACTGAAGTGGTGATACACACTGCCTACCTACCTTCCTCACTGGATTTTTTGTAAGGGTCAAACCAATACTGTTTGTAAAGCACTTTATAAGCACAGTGTAGTATTTATATAATAAATAATATTATTTAAATTGTTAGTTACTGCATTTCTTACTAGAAAGATGAAGGAAAAAATGCTTTAAAAACAATTGATAGCTCTTAAATCATATTTTACAAATCACCAGAACAGCATGCACAAAGTTAGCCTTGTTGTTCCCGATCCAGGCAAGGTAAAATTTACATCATCTGTCTTATAGAAAAACTATGGCAAGATAATCAAATACTCAAATGTAGCTCATTAATGTCGGTATCCCCTCCAATGACACAGCTCACAACTATCTACGCCTGCCCATCTGGTGCAATTGTTGTCCACGCCCTCTTAAACTTTTGTGCGTTGTCTCCCCCATTAGATTGTAAGCTCCTTGAGGGCAAAGACTCTCTTTCTTTTTCTTCTTCGTATGCCCAGTGCTTAGCACTGGGCACATAGCAGGTGTTCAATAAATGTTTATTGTATTGTATTATTATTTATAGATAATCTAAAACTGTGATTATTAGTGCCCTCTGCCTCTGATTCTGCCATTCTGCCAACATCACTGCAGAAGCAGATGGAGGCCACATGGGACAGATGATCATTTTATACTAATTTATTTCAAGGTTGCCACGGCCAAAATATTTGTTCCTACGTGGCCAGACTACTATTGATGAACCTTCTGTATTTAATTAGGCTAACCCTCAGAAAACAGACTCAGTCTGTTGCTACAACCAATCTTAAGGCCTTTCCAGCATGGTAGGGTCTGCCAGAGCTTATGCTCCACTGGCCTCATAATGAATCCTGCTGCCTCCATCATTCCCAAGTCCCCCTCACCCTAAAAAGCTCTCAGTAAACCCTGTCATTCCCTCAAGCTGTCGTCCTATATCACTCCTCCCTTTCTTAGCCAAACTAGAAAAAGCTTACTGTCTTCTCACTTCTAAACTCTTTGTAATCTGGCTTGTGACTTCATCACTCAACTGAAACTGCCCTCTCTAAAGTTACTAATGATGATTAAGTGCCAAATCTGATGATCTTTGTGCGATTCTTATCCTTTCTGACCTTTCTCAATCACATGACACTGTTGAAGATCCTCTTTCCTCTCTGGAGTTTTGGAGTTTTGTGACCCTGTTCTATCATAGTTCTTTTCATCTCTATCTGACTGCTCTTTTTTAGTGTCCTTTGCTGGTTCTCCATACACGTCAAGCCCCTCGGCTGTGGATAAACCTGAGGCCTCTAACCCAAGACCTCTTCTCTCTCCCTCTCTCTCTCTCTCCTCTCTCTCTGTCACCACATCAGCTCATATAGACTTTATTGTCATCTCTAGGCTGATACCTCCCCAACTGATAGACTCAGCCTTTATGACTCTCCTTAGATTCAGTAACACAGCACAAGCTTCCTGTCGGACATTTGGAACTGAATGTTCTGGAGGTGTCTCAAATGCAGCATGCACAAAGCAGAGCTCACCATCTTTTCCCACAGTCCATCCCTCTTTCTGTCAAGGGTACCACCAGCTCCTTCCAGTCATCCAGGTTTGCAAATTCAGTGACCTCCTCAACTTCTCACTAACTCCAAGGATCTAATCAGTTGCCGAGTTGTGTCCTTTCTAGCTCTACAAAATCTTCCACATTTGTTCCTCTCTCCATGCTCGCATAGCTACTGCCTTAATGCAGGCTCTCATCACCTCTTGCCGGAACATTGAAATGGCTCCTAACTGGCCTCTCTGCCTCACTCCAACTTATTCTCCACAAAACTACTAAAGTGACTTTCTTTAAGCATATGATCACGAAACTCCCCTGCTCAATAAACTCCAGTGTTTTCTATTGTCTCTGACCAAATATAACTCCTCTATTCGGCTTTTAAAGCGCTTTATAAGCTGGCCACAACCTGTCTTTCCAGCCTCATTATACATTAAAACCCCTTCTTGCACTCTATGGTCCAGCCAAACTGGCCTTCTCTCTGTTCCTTACACAAGGCACTCCTCTCATCTCTTTGCCTTTGCAATGGCCCCCCCATACCTGGAATGTACTCCATCCTCACCTCTGCCTTGAAGAATTCCATGTTGCATTCAAGGTTCAGTTCAAGCACCACTTTCTACATCAAGCCTTTTCTGATCCCCTCAATTTCATGTATTTGTCCCCCCAAAATTATCTTCCATCTAGCAACTCCTTTGGAGAAGGGGCTAGCCATTCTCACCAGCTCCCAATCAATGTCACAGAGAGGGCAGGCAAGCCAGTCTAGCTGAAGCAGCAAGTCAGTCTGAGAGAGAGATGGAAGGCAGTATGTGCCAGACAAGTCAGATTACCTCCACCACCATCTCAGAGCCTGAAGAAGACAGCCCAGGACCCTGAGCCCAAAAACCTGGGGAAAAGCAATATTTCCTGCACAGTGGTCCACAGCCATCATCCTGGGAAGCAACCCCTGTGGAAATGCAGCCTGGCAGCTGCTCCTGCAGGTGCTAGAGCCACAGCTACCGAAGACTCAGAAAACAAAGTTCCTGCCACCAAAGATTCTGGCACCATCAAATGGCTGAACATCAGAAACTTATAAGACTTTATTTTAGAAATGACATTAAAGAACAGGCATTGCCATCTCCTTTGCCCCTCTACCCCAAAGACCATGGGATGTTCCATCAAACTTGCAGCTCAACTAAACCTCCCATATGGGTGGTCTCCCCCATCAGAATGTGAGCTCCTCAAGAGCAGGGATTGTCTTACCTCTCTATTTGTGTTTCTGGTGCTTTGCACACAGTAAGTGCTTAATAAATGCTTTTGTAATTCATCAGTTCATTTCTTTTGTATGTACCTATAAGTCCATGTTTTCTCCCCAGCCTAGACTTTAAGCTCCTCAAGGGCAAGGACTATTGGACTTTCGCCTTTATCTACAGTGCCTAGTAGAGTCCTGGGACATAAAAGGCATTTAATAAATGCTTGTTGATTGATCGATTGATTGAGAATCCAGGGTCACTTCTGTGCTACAATAAAGGGTCCCATAGACAGCTGTTCTCCCTAAAGACCATTTAGCAATCTTTGCTGGGAATTCCAGGTGAGATCGCTAAACAAAGATGACTACATTAAATGAAAAACCAAACTCTTCTTTGAATTTTTCAATTTTCAATGATTTTAATTTAACACTAATTTATCTCAGAAGAGAAAATTAGCTCCCTCAATAAAGACTTTTTCATTCATTTGACTTGTGGTATATGCCTAATATAGCTAATTATTATGCATCAGAATAAAATGACATGTACCCCTTTAATCATTCTCCAAAGACTATTTATTAATTTTTTTAACTACAGATTAAAAATTTTCCCTAATTATTCTATTTGATGATACTTACAGTTTTTTTAAATAATTCCAATTCATTTTCTGCATAGTCAGATGCCACTTTGGTAGCTTCTGTTATTGCAAGATTCACCTAAAAAAGAACAGTCACGTTAAATGTTAATTTTTGCCCCTTCATTAATAACCAGTTTAGAAGTATGACTTCTCTGAGCCTAGTTTCCTTGTCTATAACATTAAGATGATAACATTTGCTCTACCTCCATCACTTTGTCGATCTTATAATAATATGGAAATGTGAACTATCACAATTATTCACATTTCTATATTACTGAATAACATTTTTTAACTTGGAAAAGACCTTAGAGATAATCTAGCATAAATTCTTCATTTTGCAAAAAAAGAAAAATGAAATCTGAGGATGGGAAGCAATTTGCCCAAGGTCATACTGGTAGTAAGTGGCAGAACCAGGATTCCTGACTCCAGATTCACTGTTCTTTCTCCCAAACCAGAGGCTTTTAATTTGGAGGGAAGTAGAGGGTTATGAAGTCTAATATTATGATAACTATATTTCAATATAACTGGTTTCCTTTGTAATATCATGTATTTTATTTTATGCATTTAAAAACATTCTTAATGATCTTAAAAGAAGAATGGAAAGAGAGGGAAAAGGAATACACTGCAGGGGGAGGGGAGAGTAGGGAAAAGAAAGTTAGGAAAATTATCTCATGTGCTCAAGTGGACAACTATACAAACAAGGAGCGGGTAAGGGAAGCAGCTGAAACTTGAACCTCATTCTCATTTGAACTGTCAAAGAAGAGAACATACACGCCCACAGAGTTTGGGTATAGAAATAGATTTCACTCAGTAGGGAAACAGGAGGGAAAAGAGGGGAGGCAGAACTAGGTGAGGGGGAGTAGATTAAGGGAGGGATTAGTCCTAAGCAAAACAAATTTGAGGTGGCAAAAAATGGTAATTTGAAGGAGTGCCCACAAACAGAGATAACTGAACAAGTTATGGTACATAAATGTGATGCAGTATTATTGTGCTGAAGGAAATTATGGAGATGATCTCAGAGAAAGCTGAGATGACTTGTATGAACTGATACGGAGGGAAGCAAACAGAGCCACGCATACAATGACAACAATACGGAAAAGACAAACAACTCTGAAAGAATTAGGAACTCTGATCAGGGTAATGACCAACTAGGATTCCAGAGGACTAATGATGAAATATGCTCCACACCTCCTCATGGAGGGTTGAAGGGCTCAGAGCACAGAATGAGACATGTTTTTTGGACACAGACAATGCAGAAATGTTTTTTGCTTGATTATACATGTTTTCAATAAGGGTTTTGTTTTTCTTTTGTTCTCAATTGATGAGGAGGTTGGGAGTGGGGGGCAAGGCAGGAAAGAAGGTAGATTTTTGCTGAATGAAAAAAATAACATAATTATTTTTTAAACTGAGTCAGTTAGAGTTGTAAAGAATCATAAAATGCCAGAGCTGGAAGGGACTTCAGAAATCATCCAAGCTAACCTTCAATTTTAGAGAGGAGGAAACACAGGCTCAGAAAGGATTTTAAGCCTGCTACGATACCCCAAGCCACAGCAGTTTGTCCAAAGTTATTCAGTGCAACATCTGGAGCTCCTTACTGCAGGCCAGTGCAACTTGCATGTTGTAAGTGAAAACAGCAGAGGTTCATTTAGTCACAGTTTTTAGTAGCATCACATAGTAGGATTAGCACTAGGTTTGGAAACAGAGGACCTGGAGTTGAAGGCTACCTCTGCTACTTAATCACATGTGGCCTTCAGTAAACCCCATGTACTCTTTCAGATTGAGGTTCAACTCCTAGAAGATCAGAAGTATTTGGACTAGATATTCCAAATTCTGATTCCTATTCAATTATCCTGCTAACAACTGAATTCTCATTTATGCCTTATTTTCTTAATGAATAATCACAAACACACACACACAATTATACCTCAACTTCATTGAATTACACTTGGTTTCAGTAAATTTAGGGGGAAAGATTTTATACTTTAAAATTCTGAATATCCAGTCAATTCATTAGATGATAGACATGGCTATTTCTGCTGTCAAAAGTCATGTTGTTGTCTTTCTCTTATGACAGCAATTCCCGTATTTAGAGACAGTCCTAAAAGCACTTTGAAATTAGTTGAGTTGATAAAAATTCATTTGTAACTTATGTTAGTATTCTGCAACTTGGAATGCATTTTTCCCTAGAAACGTGATCAGATTCCTAGGCCAGCCCCTGAATGCTGGCTTAATTGCTTCTGCAAAAGAACAAGCAGTATAACAGACATTGTTAGAAATGGAGGAGACCTTAGAAATAATCTAATCCAATCCTCTCATTTTCCAGAAGAAAATGCTTAGGCTCAGAGGGCAAACAACCCCTCCGCTAGTTAGGGGAAGAGGTAAAGTTCAAACACAGTGCAGGGTTCCCTCTGTTTTACCAGGCTGTTTCCCATAAACACTAGCAAAACTGGAGCCTCGGAATGGAAGAGGATAGAATCGAGAAGTGGAGCTCACCATCAGAGACCACCTAGTCCAGCCCCTTCATTTTAAAAAGGAAGAATCTGAGGCTCAGAAGGATCAAAAGACTTCCCCAGCTTCACACAATTCTAAGAGTAATAGAGAGCATAATCTTTATGTGTAATAACATTTTAATTTGCAAGGTCAGGAATCCATTTCCCTGCTATGTAGCCCTGCCAAGGGGCCTGAACAGCAGAAGACAGGAATGACCAGCTAGCTGTAAGCTACTGCCACATGGCAGGGACATCTCTTGCCCTCCTGCCCGTCTTACCACTTCCCCTCCACTCCTGCCCGTGAAGCAACCACATAGATCTCCTGAGGTTTTCTAAGAGGACTGACTGCTAGAAACAACAGGAAATGGAGTCTAAAATGTCTCCCTCTGAAGCTCCACTCTTTTCCTTCTCTTTTTTGCCTTATAAGCTAGAGGAATAGACTAAGACTGGCATAGGTGATTATGGTGGTTTTTTAATTATAATAAGACTAATTGACATTTCAGAATTATACTGAGACTCAACTCCTAAATGTCACATAACAGAATTAGGACAGGCAGCTCTGGAGGTAGGAAGAAAACTAGGACGAGGATATTACCGAAAAGCATTTCATATATTTTTGCCTGGTGCAAAACACTGTTATGAGTTGAGAGTTTCCCCCCCAAAAAATTAATTAAAAGTATGTTTTACTCAAGTCCCCATTTGTGAAATGAAATCTCTTTGGTATAAGTTAGCCAGGGTCCTCTTGGCTTTTATTTACTTTGGTCACAAGTGTTTCTGGCTGGAGAAATCTTAACGATTACTTCTGGTCCTCATAACCATTTCAATCCTGATATTGCCCTAAGTTCAGCCCTTTTCATAACTACAAACCAGAAGAGGCCATGTGATGTTTGCTGCCAAAGATAGTTATCATTATGACTCAGTAAAAATAGTTTCAAACTTTGCAGCTTAAATCTTATTTCTTATTAACAAGAACTGAAATCTAAAACTGAAGGCTTTCCCCTCGTGAATTACTGTTAATGGCTCTGGCCCCAGATAAGCAGCAGCCCAGGACAAGAACATTCTACAGTTAAGTCATTCTGTGCACACCAGGCATCAGAAGAAATAATACACCACATTTGCTATACAGCAATTCAAGTTTGCAATGCACCTTACATAGAGTAGGGCCATCAGTCTTGGCTCACACATATTTGAAAGCAAAAGTTTCCCTAAAGCCATGGCAAATCCCCTATTCCTTCTTGTTCTAACAACCCTAAAGACAGAGTGATTCTAGAGTGATCTAGAAAAAAAGGACCTTCCCCCCCACCAAACCTATTTTGGTCACAATCCATTTTGGGAAAACTACTCTAAGCTGATTCTAGAATTAGAAAAGATCCCAATGGGAGGGTGAGTTTGGGGCCTTTGGGGGATTTCTAATATATTAGCATTAATATGTGTTTCTAATATATATTAGCATTCTAAGAACTGGCTAAAGTCATAGCAGACTCTTAAGAACAGCTTTAAATCCAGCAGATTTGGGTCACCTAACCCTCTTCCTACAGCAATCGAGTTCAGAAGCCCTGGTTAAACCTCCCAAGGGGCAAGAGGAGCTGAGACAGCCTCAGGGGCCTGCATATCTCTGTATGTCTCTCTGTCTCTCTGTCTCTGTTTCTCTGTCTCTCTCTGTATCTCTCTCCCTGTCTCTGTCTGTCTGTCTGTCCCTCTCTCTCTCTCGCTGTCTCTCTCACTGTCTCTCTCTTTCCTTTCCTCCCTCTCTCCCTCAACCGTTCCCCACCCCTTCTGGGGGAATAGGAGGGGGGTGGCCAAACTGCCAGCTCAGCTCAGAGCTCACATTTTGGTTCCCTTCCTAATCCCAAGGGCAAATAGAAATATAATAAAAATACAGAACACAGGGATTCTTTAACAAGTTTGACATATTGGCTCTAGGCAAGAATATCCTCCTCCCTCTGGACCCATATTCCATATATTTGGGGGTATTTCTTAGGAGAGAATTACTAAAAAGATGAACTTTTGCGGCCTGTTGCAAAGGAATATGAGGTGGGGGAAGAAGCAGAAGAAACACCATGTAGAATAGCAGAAAGTGAGCAACAACACTTGGCTACCTACCTTAAAGGTGGTTGTGAGAAATATGTCTACTGAACCTTGAAGTGCTATAGAAATGCCAATAATTATTGTGGTGATTACTGTTATTTTTATTACTACCCATGTGACTTTAGGCAGATCACTTAATGGTTCTGGGCCTTAGTTTTCCTCTTTTGCAAAATGAGGTACTTAGCCCAGGTCCCTTACAGATTTAAACCCTATGTTCCTGTGTTCCAGGTCTGATTGTATTAATGAAGAGACAGCATGGTGTAATGGAAAGAATATTCACAAGATTAATAAGAACTATAGAAAGTAGGCCAACAGACCAGTATGAAGAATATTCAGAAAAATCAGTGGACCTGATTTGTGTCCCCCTCCTTCATTTCCTCTCTTGAGGATTCCATATCTGTAAGAAGGTTGGAAGGGCAGCTAGGTGACACAGTGGATAGAATGCTGGGCCTGGAGACAGGAAGACTCATCTTTAAGAGTTCAAATCCTGCAATTCACTTAACCCTGCTTGCCTCAGTTTCCTCATCTGTAAAATGAGCTGGAGAAGGAAATGGCAAACCACTCCAGTATTCTTTGCCAAGAAAACCCCAAATGGGGTCATGAAGAGTTGGACGAGACTGAAATGACTGAACAACAAAGAGGTTGGAACAGAGGTTGGAACAGAGGTTGGAAGATCCACTTCAGCTCTTATCATCATGATTCTATAATCCCACTCTCCTCCCTTCCCCTCTCCCTGTCCATACCCAAAGCAGCAGATGAAGGTGGGCTGGATGAGGAAGGCAAAGTACACTTACACCACCTAAAACAGCATTTCCATTTAGCCTGGTTCTGTTTACAGGAACATTCCACAAGGGGGAGATCAGCCATGCACTTACCAGAGCATAAAACATCTTTCCATGATCTTCTGAGCGTCCTTTCCTGATTTCCATAAACAATGGACGCAGAAATGTGTTAATAACGCCAACGAAGTCATCCAATTTGTCATGGGCATAGTACACTGAAAATTTGTAACCAAGAAAAAGCAACGGATGAATCAAAACATTCTTCCCCTTTCAATCTTTCCTTCAACACCTCTAACTGCAATGATTTATAATCAGAAAGCACCTGCCACCTCTGGAAAATGTCTACATTAAATAACACATTAAAGAATGGTGGAGTCAGAAGACTAGATCTCTAGAAAAACCAAATGTGATTTCTTATAAATATCTTCTTTTCTGCTGTCTAGATCCTCTACCACTAACCAAAACTGCATCCTTCCCACCCAGCCCCCACATCGCTACCATCACCACTGAACTGAATATTGAATTCCTTATGCTTTGTATATATTAGGTAATGATGACAGTATAGTTGTAGCCATAGGATTCATGTTCCCCTATCATCCCATACTCCTCCAAAATAATACCAACAATAATAACATTTATGTAGTGCTTTAGGGTTTGCAAAACATTTAAAATGCTATATCATTTGATCCTATAACAACCTTGTAAGTTAGGTGCTATTTTTTCATGCATGTCCCCTCTTTCGCCCTCCTTCTAGCAGCCTTTTATATGTTACCCTCTCTCTCATTAGAATGAAAGCACCTTAAGGGCAGAGACTGTCTTGTTTGCCAGTATTTTATCCCTAGTACTTAGCAGTGCCTAGAAGTCAGTAAGCACTTAATAAATGCTTTCCCTCCCCCCCCCATATGCAAAAGAGATTAAGTGACTTGGCCAGGGTCACTAGTAAGTGTCTGAATAAGGATCTGAACTCACATCCTCCTCATTCCAAGTCCAATCCTCTATCTACCATGCCACCAAACTGTTTCCAAACTTGGGAAACTGAGTACAGAGAGGAAGTGGGGGAACCCTGAGATCTGAGGAAAGTTGTTTAGGCACAGAGACTCAGGTAATAACTATATTCTCTCCTGGACTTTACTATTGACCAAAGTAAAGAAGGACACTCATTTTGACATTTGAAAATACTACTAATAATAATAACAATAGCAATAATAATAGCAAACATTTATATAGCACCTACTATGTGCCGGGCACTATGCTAAGCACTTTACAAATTTTCTCTCATTTGATCCTCACAACAACCTCATGAGGTAGGTGCCATTACTCTCATCCCCATTTTATAGATGAAGAAACTGAGGCAGACAGAGTTAAATGACTTGCCCAAGGTCACACATCTGATGTCTGAGGCTGGATTTGAACTCAGGTCTTCCTGACTCCAGGCCCAATAGTCTATCCACTGTGCCACTTAGCTACTGATAACAGACATCATCAGGAAAAATATTTGCCATATAAATCATTTCAAATTGATTCAACAAACATATTAAAGGTCTATGTACATGGTGCTGAAGGTACAGAGATAGAAAACAAACAAAAAAACCACAATCCCTAAACTCAAGGAGCTTTCAATCTAATAGAAGAGGTACAACATGGACACAAAGTACGACAGGTGCAATGGAGAGTCACGCAAAGTGCTGCTGGAAAATCTGAGAACAGAGAACTCACTTTCAACTAGAGCGGGACTGAGTTTGCAGGTGTGTTTGTGATTGCAGCGAGTGTAAGAGGCTGCTTGGTAGTCAAGGGAAAGGGAGATGGCAGCTGATTTTTTCAAAGGCCACGGGAAAGCGAAGGTGTTGAATAAGACCAGGCTTGACATCACCTTCTCTGTGTAGCAGGCCCCCAAGGCAGATTCCCTGAGCCTTATGTCAAGGGTCTCTGAGATTCTGTTGGGCTAGGCAATGGCTGCTTCCCCTGATGCGGATCACAGCCCCTTCCGTACTGAAGTGATGGTCTTCATCCCTTTCTGTGCTTCGAGATATTCATCGCCTGGGGATCAACCCTCAAGTGATGAAACTCTCCAAAACTGGCAAGTCCAACTCTGCTGATTCATAGTTCAGGAAAACGGAAAGAATGCTGGACTTAGAAAGAGGTCTGGGTTCCAATCCCAAGTCTGACAACAGCTTATGAGCAACAGTAAGTGGCTTAAGGGCTCTGTGCCTTATTTTCCTCATATGTAAAACAGAGATAACAATCCCTCATGGACTGCTCTAAGGGCCAGATGAGATCACGTATGTAAAATATTTTGTAAACCTTAAAGCACTAATTGACAGCCATCATTATCATTCTCATACAGAATCAAGGAAGGCTTCCTGGAGGAATAGCAACAATAACTCACATTCGGACATCACTGGACCATACGTACAACCTCACAACAACCCAGTGGGATAAGTAGAGCTTACTATCCCCACCTTATAGATGAAAAAACTGAGGACCAGAAAGGCAAAGACAAGTCACCAAGCCTTTATTTAACACTTACTATGTGCCTAGCACTGTGTTAAGCACTCGGGATACAAAGAAACCCCAAAACAAAAACCCCTGTTCTCCAGGAGTTCACAGTCTGATGGAAGAGACAATTGAATGAACAGCTATGTACAAACAAGATATAGATAAGATAAACCAGAGATAATTTCAAAGGGAAGGCACTAGAATTAAGGCAGATCAGGAAAGGCTTCTTGCAGAAGATAGGATTTTAGCAGATACTTGAAAGAAGCCAGGGAAGCTGTAAGTTGGAAATGAGAAGCAAAAGCATTCGAGGCATGGGGGACAGCCCAGAGTTGGGAGATGGGGTGTCCTGTTCAGGGAAAAGCAAGGAAGCCAGTGTCACTGCATCACAGAGTGTCAAATAGGGGAGGATGGAAAGAGGGAAAGAGAAGCAAAGTGTCAGAAGACCAGAAAGGTAGGATGAGTCAAGATGATACAGGGCCCAAAGTCAAAAAGAGGATTTTCTTTTTGATCCTGGAGGTAACAGGGAATCATGAAAATTGACTGAATGGGGAAGGGTGGGGTGAGATAGGGAAGGGTGACATAGTTAGACTTGCACTTTAGGAAGATCACTCTGACAGCTGAGTGAAGGACCGACTAGATTGAGAGAAGATTTGATTGAGGAAAGGAGAACAAGCAGCAGGTTATTACAAGTCCAGGAGTGAGGTGATCAAGGCTTGCGCATGGTAGTGGCAGTATCAAAGGAGAGAAGGGGGCATAGCCAAGAAGTAACACAAAGGTGACATTGACAGGCCTTTGCAATAGATTGGATATGGAGAATAAGAAAGAGAAGTCATGAATTGCACCTAGTTTGCAAGCCCAGGGAGGATAGTTGCAATAATAGCGAGCTTAGGAAGAAGGGAAGGGTTGGGGGGAAAGAAAATGAATTCAGTTTTGGACATGCTGAGTATAATATTTCAGTATGTCCAAGAGGTAGTTGGAGATATGAGACTGGAGGTCAGCAGAAAGATCAAGACTGGAAAAATAGATCTGCACTGAGATAATTTAAATAATAGGAGTGATGAGATAAATCATCAAGAGAAATGATCTTCCTAAGTTTACATGGTAGTTAGATAAGTGGAACTGAGATTTAAACCCAGATCTTACAGCACAAAGCCCATTGATTTTTCCACTATAACACTGTCTCCCAGGCCTGAGATTTCTGATTTAGCATGAGCTTGAAAAGAGAGAGGCCTATGGATGGAAGAAAATTAGCAAGAATACTCTCCCACTCTGGTCAAAGCTGGACCATGAATCTATCCTACATAGGTGTGAGTGTGTGTGTTTGCTTTACAAATAAATGGTATATGCCTTGTCTAGAGTTAACTAGGCAGAGTGAAGAAGGTAAATCAGAGAATGTATTAAAAGCTTCCCTGGGAGAAGGGCTGGGGGTGGTGTGCTGGGGGTAGGGGGAGGCCTGAGCCCTACGTTCTTTGGCTATAGGCAACAGAATCCCAAGCTTACCTCCATGACACCTAGTGTGGAGCAAAAAGCTTAGCCACAGCTGCCATAGCTGCCACTCATATAAAATACAAGGAAGTTTCTCACTGATTTAAGTGGTTTGTTGCTTTAGCAATTCAACATTTTAGCAATAACAGTACTTCATTTGAAACTTAATTTTAAGTGTGAGTTAAAGAAAGGCCTCACCTACACACTTACTGACTTAATAGGGGCGTAGTGGGAAAAAGCAGCATACTGATATAGAGATGTTCAGGGTTGTTCCAACGACCAGTAGCTGCAGCAGCTGTAGCCGCAGAAACCCATAGTCACTTATCGGGCCAGATCAGTTTATCTTTCATCAAAGCCAAGAACCCAGATGTAAAAAAACTAGTACAGACAGCCACCGAGTTAAACATAATACAGTCCATGCTCTAGTGCAGGGGTGGGGAACCTGCGACCTCGAGGCCACGTGTGGCCCTCTAGGTCCTCAAGTGCAACCCTTTGACTGAATCCAAACTTCCGTTTGGGCCACACTTGAGGACCTAGAAGGCCACACGCGGCCTCGATGCCACAGGTTCCCCACCCTTGCTAGTGCCTCATCATGAAATGGAGGAGCTCACAGATGGGGGGCCTGGAAGGTCCCTCAGAGGCCATCTGAACCAACCCCCTCATTTTACAGATGAGTAAAACGTCCAGGAGGTTTTAGGTGACTTGCCCAAGGACACATGGGTAGTGAGGGTCAGGGATCTCCTAGCCCAAGCTATGGAAGGTCTCACCCAGCTGGGAAGGCCTAAGGTAAAGGCTTTGTTCAGAGCCTGGATAAATTCTGAGGGATTCATCAACAGAAGAGCAGCAGTAGGATTAATCTTTCAGCTATATCAATTCTTGCAGATGGTCTACCAAGGCATAGTGGAATTGAGGGGGTGATGGGACCTAGACCCCTAAAGGAAAAGACCATGTCTCTGGAAATAACCCAGTCACATAAAGGCCGATAATTCCCTGACCCTATAATTCCTCAGATAAAAGCTATCAGTGCAGGCAAAGGGTGACTGCCCAAGGATCATTCCTCTGGCAAACCTTTGTATAAATAGAACTATCGTGTCCCTTTAACAAAGCTATGTCTGGGGGGCAGCTAGGTGGCGCAGTGGATAGAGCACCGGCCCTGAAGTCAGGAGGACCTGAGCTCAAATCCGGCCTCAGACCAAACACTTGACACTTACTAGCTATGTGACCCTGGGCAAGT